CGGGCGGGCGCAGCCGTCGGGCCGGCGGGCTAGTGCGCGCTTGCCCGGCCGCCGCGGTCGTTGTGCAACCGCCGCAAAGGCCGCGAGCGCCCCTGCGGCGCGGGCGAGGCTGGGCGCGGCCGCCCGCCCGGATCCCACGACCCCGGCCTACCTTTCTCCGCGCCGTTGGGCTGCGTAGGGGAGGCCACGGGGTTGCGCGAGCGGGCGAACGCGCTCATAAGCGGCAGCGCGCCGGGCCGGTGGTTCCGGGGCCTGCGGAAGGGAGGCGGGCGGGAGTCAGGGGCGCCAGCGGGGCGCCCGCGTGCTCTTGCTCTCCTGGGGGACACTCACCAGTCCTCGGGGTCGCAGTCTCGGAAGCCTTTGGCGAAGGGGTTACTGGCGATCTTGAGCTGCGTGATCTGCGGGAAGCGGGCACTGGGCTCGCCCTGGGGGCCACGGGACTTACCCATAGGGGAGGGAGCGGTAGGAGCCCGCCACTCTCCCCTCTGCTCCTCCCCCACTCCGGTTCTCCATTAGAAACGGCTGGAACACACCCGCTCCCTCCCACGCAGGGGGCTGCGCGCCTCAGGGCTGGGGAGCCCTCCTTCTGGCTGAGGCCCTCCTCCTCTTCTGCACCCGTAAGTGTCCCCCAGGCTGGGCTAGGAATGCGGTTATGTCCACCCCCGACCCGCTGAGGTCTGGAGTGGAGGGCACCCCAGCAATCAGGCCCCTGGTGGGAGCTTCCGGAATGGTTTGGAAAACAAACTTTCAGGCCACAATGACAGTTGCTGCTTGAGGGGTCAACCAGATAGGAAGCTGGTCTGGCCAGGGACACAGAGGGGAGGGGGATGGTCTGAGGCCCTGTGGTGGGGGGGCGGGGGGCGGTGCTCCAGACTGGTTGGGTTTCTCCAGGCAGCCACCCCTTCCCAGGGGTGCTGAGCAGGCCGCCCCGGGGCCTCACCCGGTGGTTCTGGTAGGCAGTGACCGCGGTGAAGCGAGTCTCCTCAAACACGAAGGTTTTGAAGTTCTCCTCAGCGTACTTCTCGCTGTCTTTGCGTGGGTCCACGTACACCACGTGGAAGCGTGGCTGGTATCTGTGCATGGAGTTGAGGATGATCTGGAAGAGAGGTGATGAGGTCCGAGCTCAGCTCGGAGACCAGCAGGGCCCAGACAGGTGTGCACTTCCCGACAACCCGGCACAACCCTGCGCTCACCCAGGAAGCCTGCCTCTCAGGAGCCGCCAGACTCCAAAGGCTGCTGCCCCCACCCTACCCCACAGCCCCCCATCCTTTCCAGGGAAATCTAAATCGTCTCCAGCAAAAGCCCAGCAGCAGGGTGAAGGGACCAGCAAGGCTCTCTCTCCAAGGCCCAGGCCCCTGACCCGAGCGCTGGCTTTCCCTGGCCCGTCCGTCATCCACACTGCCGTGGTGCGGGTCAGCGGGGACTCCCTTGGCCTGCCGGCGGTCAGCAGGGACCCCCTCGGCCTGCCAGGGGACGGGGTGGTAGCCTGGGGGGCCGCTCACATGGCCGTTGTCGTCCAGCAGGTTGTTGGTCAGCTTGAGCTTGTCGAAGGAGACAATCTGCTTCATCCACTGGGCCCCCTTGGCCGGCGAGTCGGGGTGGTAGTGGACGCGGCCCGGCGTGGCGGGGTCTGCCTTCCCAGCCACCAGCCAGGATGAGCTGTGGAAGGCATACCTGGGCCGTGGGGGGACGGGGCCACGACACAGCGGGTGAGGGCCTTGCCTGGGGAGCCTGAGGTGCCCGAGGCTCCCACGGGCGGACGGGGGGTTGCCCAGGGAGCCTCGAGGAAACGGAACCCCATTCTGACACACAGGCAGCAGGAAGCGCCAGCAGGGAGGCAGCCGGCTCTGGCGCCACAGTTCGCAGCACGCGGGTCCCGCCAGCCTGCAGCCTCCCGAGTCACAGGCCAGCGCGGCAGGGAGGGGGGGCCTGGATCTGGCCTGCCAGGGCCTAGGGCGCAGGGCGGACCGGGCTCTCTTTATTAATTGCTGTTAATTGTCCGGGCGGCCAGGCCCGCCCAGCGTAATCTCTCCCGGCCACCCCACCTTTCCTGCTGGCTCCGGGGCCAGCGTCCCGGGGGAGGGGGAAGGGACGGGCTCACCTTGCAGGAGAGGGGAACGCGGACAAGGCTGGTGGGGGGCCCCCAGCACATGTGCGCCCCCCCAGGGCCAGTCCCCAGAACTGCTGGGGGTGGACGGGCCTGTGGGGCTGGGGTCTGGCGGGACCGGAGAGTTGGCCACCGGTCGCAACCGACCTTTCTGGGCCGCCCGCCTCCACCCGCCGGGCCGGGCCGGGCTCTCACCGGTAGCGCTTGTCGTCCACGGGCACGAAGTCCATGAGGAGCATGTACTCAGCCATGGGGTCCATGCCGAACAGCTTCACTTGGAAGGTGGGGAACATGCGCCTGGGGGCGGCAAGATCCCGTCAGCTCGGGAGGGGAGGGCAGGCCGCCCGCTTCCAGCGGCCCAGGACGTGGCAGGCCGGGGCCCTGGTCATATCTCCTCTCACCCGGCTGCCTGACCGACCTGACTAGGCCCCTGCCCCACCAAGGGCGAGTGGACAGCAGCACAGCCCCTTGCCCCCCCACCCCGGTTAGAAACCCAGAAACGGCTAACTCAGCGTGTCAGGCGGGCCTGCAGGCCCTGACCTCGGCCTCTGGTTTCTTACTGCACCTCCACCCGCGTAGACCCAGCCTCGCTGACTGCAGATCCGGCCATCGGGGCCGGGTCAGCCCAGTGGGCCGCAGCAACGCAGTCCCGGGTCCTGGGCCCTCAGCAGGACGGCCCCTGACCGCCTGATCTAAGCGATCGCTTTAAGCTCCCGGCTCCAACAAAGTGAAAGCGAGGCGGACCGACCGAGGGATTCCAGGAGTCCCGGGCGGCCTTGCAGCTGAGTCTACGGCTGCTTCCCCGGTTCCCCCCGAGAGGCCAAGCTGGGGAGTCCACAGCCCTGGCCCTAAGGCTTCTCGCCAGTTCCTGGGGTTCTCCCCACCTTCCTTGAGGACACACGCAAGTTCCCCAGGCACAGCTACTCCAGGCCGGCCTGGCCTGTGTCCTTGGGGTCCCCTGACCGTCCCCTCCCCTGAGCTCCAACTCGTCATGCACGCAATCCCAGCTCAGGGCGATGGCCGCAGGCTGGTCTAGTCCCGGGTGCCGGCTGCCGGTTGGAACAGCGTGCCGCCCGGCCCCAGCCCGCCTGTCCCGCCGCTGCCTTTTACAGGCACCTCCTCTCGGGTGGTGGGCTGACGCCAGCCCTCCTGGACAAGCCACCCCTACCCCCTGCCCCTGCAGGCCAGAGGGGGCTGCAGAATGCTGGCGGGGCCAGGCAGAAGGCTGAGCGCCCAGGGCCGGCTGGAGAGCTGGAGAAGGCCTCGGGCTCCCTGGGGAAGACGCCGCGACAGGGCAGGAGGAGCCCGGCACGGGCTCTGCAAACAGGCCCTGAGCCCTCCCGGGCCGTGCAGATGCAGAGCCGGTGTCTCCTGTGTACATTAGACACAGACGGGCACCCGCCTTTGTCTGCCGGTCACATCGGCTCCATCGCAAAACTTGTTCCCCTTCTCTCCGGGCCCTTCAAACAAACACAGCCCAACGGAAGGCGGCGGCCCCAGCGGCAGAGCCAGGCCCCCCGCGGTCGGCAGAGACGTAGGCCTGAGAAAACGGGGTGGCAGCCTCCCCACAACACAGCCCGCCCAGGAGGGTCTTCACTGTCCCAGAGCAGTTCCGACCCACTGCCCCGTTGCCGGGCAGCGCCTCCATCTAGCCCGGATGGACTGAATTGAGGAACCAGAGACGGGAGTTTCCTCTGAAAAGTCGGGATCCACTTGGATCCGCTGGTTGGCGAGGCCCCGAGGAAGTGAGCCGGCCCCTGCCTCAAGCCGCGGATGTCCCGGGGTGGCGGGTGGACCCCCGGCGGCCTGCTCCTCGCCGGCCCCTCTGCTGGCTCCCCAGGCAGCTGTCGCCGGAGCCGGGACCCGGTAGCAGAGAAGCCGGCCGTGCCCCCGCCCCACTCGCCGGCCCCTCCAGGCTGGGGCGGCCCGCGGCCGAGGAGGGGGCGCCCTGACCTGCCGGCCTTGGTGACGATCATCTCGGTGCCCAGCTGGTTGAACTCGTCCCACAGCGCCTTCATCTCCAGCTGCACGCTCACGCTGGCCACCTTCGCATTCTTCTTCACCGGCGCCTTGGCGGCGGCCACGCAGCTGGCCCCGGGGCCCTCGGGCTCGGCGGTCTGCCCTCCCGCGCGGCGCTGCCCGCCTGGGCTCCTGCACTTTGCTATTCCCTTACCTTTGTTTCCGTCGCTTTCGTCTCCCCTCCGCATCCTCCGGCCTCCCTGCACTGTCTCTCGCGTCTCTGTCTCTGTTTTCCTTTCCGCCGCTTCCCCTCTCCTGCTGCTCCCTCTGCGCTCTTTCCTTTCGGTCTGCCTGTACCCCTCCCGTCTGTGCGTCTCTCTATTATTCGTGGCTTTTAACTTTTTTTTTTTAAGACCGAACTGTTTCCCTTGACTTTCTTCTTAAGACTCGACTTTCTTAACTTCGCACACTTCTCGTTGGTTCTGGCCCTCTTCGTCTCCTTTCCGTCTTTCCCCTTTCGGGTGTCCTGTTTTCCTCTCCTTTTTCTCCAGCTCTTTCCTCCCGCCGTCCCCTCCTGCGCTCTCTCTCCTCCGAGTCCCCCGGCTTTCGGGGGCTCCTCTGCTGTCCCCCCGCCTCTCCGAGCTCTCTGACTCCCTGTGGTCCCTCTCTCTGTCCCCCTCCTACCTCCCACACTCTCTTCTGCTCTGGGCTCAGCTGCACGGGTCTCTGCAGCGGGGTCCCCAGGCGAAGGGGGCACAGGATTCGGGCAGGATGCCGCCCTTCCTCTGCGCCCTAGAGTCCAGGCTGGAAGCCGGGCACTCACTCCGCCAGTGCTGCCTTTCCCGTCCTCCCCCAATCCCGCCAGCCCTCTTTGCATGGGCCCCAGGGGCCGGGGTCTGGCAGGCATCTGCCCAGACACAGCGGGGAGGCTTACCTTCCATGTCCCTGGTGACGGTGCTGAAGTGCATGCCGGCCGGGGATCCCAGCGGCTTCGCAGGCGCGGAGGACCCCGGGGCCGTACGTGCGGTGCGCTCTGCGGCCTCTGCTGCAACCAGAGAGGCGATGCTGAACGCGCTGGCCCGGGGAGACAGCGGGCCCCGCGCGTCCATAGGCGCCCAGCGGCCTGGCCGGCGCCGCCTCCGACTGCGTGCACCCGGCCCCACGGAGGCCGGCCCAGCCCACGGCCCGGGGGCGGGAGCCTGCGGTGCCACTCACCGCCGCGGCCCCAGGCCCAGGGGACATGGCGTCACGGCCCCCCACCCTGGGCCGAGGGGGCCCTGGCGTGTGGAGCGCCCCGGAGGGTGGTGCGGGCCCTCCTGTGTTTCAAGCTCCCCAGCCCTTCGCCTCAGCTCCCAGGGGCCTCCGTGGCCAGCGCCCCCAGACCTTTCGCAGCTCCCCAGGCCTGGCCTCCCTCTGTACAGCGAAGCCACCGGCTTCCACCGCCCCGAGGGGAGGCGAGAGCAGGCGCCCCCAGCCCCAGACCGCGGCCGCGGGGCTCCGGCTGGGCCCTGCCCTGGACTCCTCCCGCCTCCCCAGCTGCCCCTGCACCTGGGCGCGGAGAGGGCCGTCCAGGCTCCGGCAGCGGCCACGGGCGGACGGCCCCAGGGCCGCAGTGTCGTTCTTTCCTCGGCGCCCAGGGACGGGACCCGGCCCCGCGAGCGGCTCCCGGGCCCCTGTGGGCGGCTCACGGTCGCGCCCAGGGACCCTGAGCAGAGGGACACCGCCCAGGCCGCCCAGCCCGGGAACCCGAGTGTCACGCGCACCCGCGCGCCACCCGCCCCTGGCCTGGACGCTTATACATCCGGAGGGTGGGCAGTGCCCGCTCCTCCGACCTCCCCGAGCACCGGCCGGGCTCAGGGAGGGCCGGGGGCGGGGCCTGGACTGGCCAAGGGAGCCGAGGACACGTCGGAGGAATTCAGGCCGTGGCCGGTCCGGTTGCTCGCTGCCCCTCGCCCGCCCCACGGCTGGCCTGCCCTCCTGGAAGGCCCGGCTGCCCACTTGGGCCTGCTGACCGAGGCTTCCCGGATGCTAAGCTTGAAGCGGCCGGCGCTTCCCCGCACCTCCTGCCTCTGGGGCCACCTCCGCCCAGTTGGGGGCATCCATGGCCGCCCAGCCCAGACGCCCCCCTTGCAGGGCGCCAGGCCTCCGTGACCCAGGACTTGCTTGGGCCCTGGGCTCTGGCCCTCAGGCCTGTCTCCAAGACCTGTGCTGCTTCGCCTGTCTGGAGCGAGAGGCAGCAGCCTTTCTGGGGGTTGTTGGACCCCCAAGCTGGAGAGTGTGCTGGCCGAGAACCCGGGGGGTCTGGAGCTGCTCCAGCAGGAAGCACGGGGCTCCAGGGCCTGAGGTCCAGGACTGGCGCGGCCTAGAGCAGAGGCGGTGAGCACGTGGGCCCTGCTGTGTGATGGGGTGGGCGACCGTGACCTCGTGAGCACTGAGCCCCGCCCCTCCCCTGGACAGTCTCTGCGGCCCGAGGACCAAGCTGGGAAGGCGCGTGGTTGCCAGGGGTTGCCCTCCCCAAGGGGTGGCTGTGGCCATGTCCTGTGCGGCCCGGAAGCAGGTCCAGGGAGTCCTATGATGCAGGAGCAGCCAGGCTTGAGCTTCCTGCCCACCCCCCCAGCCAGCCACCCCCGCAGCAGGGCCAGCCCCGGGGCTGCCAGGAGCCCAGGTCGAAGGACCCGCGGGCAGGGGGAGCTGCTGCAGGAGGTGAGCATGTCAGCACCCAGAGGGGCGCACGGGGTATCCCCAGGGGCATGTAGCAGGTGGGTGGGCGGGCTGTGCGGGTGCCCGTGGTTGTATCCGTGCACCCGGGGAGCCTTCCCGTATACCTGGGCGAACACCGGAAGGCCGTGGGCAGGTGCTGAGTCCAAGGGAGACACTGGCCTTGGGAAAGGAGCAGAAGTGAAAGTGAAAACTCTGGGGCCTCTGGAGTTGTGGGGTCAGCTTCCGGGGCTCTGTCCTGAGGGCCCTGGCCCTCAGAGGAGTTCGAGGTGGGGGACAGGAGCAGGGTCCTCTCGGCCCTTCTTAACCCCTTGGTGCCTGAGCCGGAACATGGGCGGCCAGGCTGGATGGGGAAAGCGCAGAAGGGAGTGTGCCAGTTCTGGTTGAGAGCAGGACGGACGAGGTCAGGGCGCTCCTCCTGCAACTCACAGCTCTGCTTCCCCCGCTGCCGCTGCCCACTCCAGCCACCGCAGGCCCCGAATGCAGCAGCAATGCCAGGCCCCAGCTGGAACCCAGCTGCAGGGGCCAGAGATGCTAAAGATAGTGCAACACTCTGGTCACCTGATGGGAAAGGCCGGCTCATCAGAAAAGACCCTGATGTTGGGAAAGACTGAAGGCAGGAGAAGAAAGGGGCGACAGAGGGTGAGATAGTTGGATGGCATCACTGACTCAACGGACGTGAGTTTGGGTAAACTCTGGGAGTTGGTGATGGACAGGGAGGCCTGGCGTGCGGCAGTCCATGGGGTTGCAAGGAGTCAGACGTGAATGAGTGGCTGAAGAACAAAAGGGACCGGACCCCTCAGCATTGCTGCCTCCTGCGCCCCTGGGGGTGCACTCGCCCGTCCCTCCTGGCCCCCCGCCCCGCGCCACTCTTCGCTACGCGCACCCCAGTGCCCTCACCGCCCAGGGGGAGCACATGCCCTGCCATGCCGCATCCACTCTCCCTCACCTCGACCTGCATGGTTCCTTTCCGCCTCACTCCCCCTGCCGGCCGCACCTCCCAGAGCAAGAGGTGGGAGTCGGGCGGGCGCCACCAGGGCCGAGGGCTGATCAGGTTCTGCCCAATCAGGGCACGACGCCCCCTTCACCCGGGATGCGGGCTGAAGACAGGATCCGCATTCCCCGCGCCGGTCAGCAGGATGGAACCAGGATGAAACTACCTTACAGGCCCTAGAAATGAGGCTCTTGTGGACCCTCAGCCCGACGTGGGGGCCAGAAGGGCAGCCAAGGGCAGAAGGCGGCCGGTGGGAGGGAGCGGGCAGCCACCCCCTGCTTCTCGGGGCTGCTGTGGGGTGAGCCCCAGCTGCACTCACCCTCGCCCCCAGCATCCCTAGCCCTGTCTCAGAGGTTCACTTCCCAGCTCACAAGGGGCAGCCTGGGGTGTCTGGGCGGCACCCAGCTCCTCCCCAGAGCACACGTCGGTCCCCAGGGGAGCCGGCAACACCGGGGTCCATGTGTCACTCCTGCCGCCGTGCAGGCACTTCTGTGGCGTCTGCCTGGCACTCTGAGCTCCCAGCCCTGGAAGGATCGGTGGGCCCTTGGGTGTCACTGTGCTCGAGTGCTCCTGGAGACACGGTGGGCTCCACCTGCACCACCACACTCCCCCTCCCCCCCCACTGCCTGGGTCTCCGGCCGCCACAGGGGCCAGAGCGCAGTGGGGCAGCGGCTGCCACAGCATTCCGCAGGAGCGCAGCAGGCTTTCTTCCACCTGGCTCGTTCGTTTCAGGACTGGTTTGCCAGGAACATTCCCCACGCCCGCAGTTCCCCTGGCCCCACAGGAAGGCCTGCAGTCACTCCCCCGCAGGGGGCAGTGCGGGGTCTCAGGGGAGGCCGGAGTGGGACCGACCTTCGCTGGAGCCGGGATGGCTTCCTCCCCTTCCGCCTCTCCTGCGGGTGCCTGCTCAGGACCTTGGCCCCTGGGCACGTCCCACCTGCCTTCCTCCAGCCAAGGTGCTGGGGCTGCGATGCCAATACAGGCGGCTCTCTGGGTGGCCCTCGTGGGCACGAACGGGCAGTAACCCGGAGCCCCGGAGGCAGGCAGGAGGCCCCCTCTTCCTCTAGCGTGGCCGAGGCTGGAAGAGCGGGAGAGAGAAGCGGGTGCAGTCTGAGCCGGGCTTCCAGAAACCCAGCTCACAGCCTCGGGGCCTCGCGTGGTCGGCCCATCAGGGAGGGGGGTGCAGAACTTCAGGCCCCAGGGCAGGGCTGGGGCTGGGAGGAGAGGCTACCTGGGCTCTTGTGACACCACCTGCGTTTGGAGGAAGCGCGCTCCCCGCCAGCCTGGAGGCTCCTGCACTGGGACCAGAGGTGGCTCTGTTGGCCCCTAACTGCCCCCAGGCCGTTCCCGCAGGGTGCCCCCAGCTGCAGCGCACGTCCCTGCCAGTCCCCCAGGTGGAGAGCTCTAGGCCTGAGGTTCGGCTCGTGCCCCACTGTACACTGGGGTTCCCGTGCGGGGCCTGAGCATCCGAAGAGGTGCTGGCGCAGGCTGGCGCCCCAGCGGCCTGGTGTGTGCTCCTCGCTGGCTTGCAGGTGT